CCACTTGCTCGCCTGGGCTCCTTGCCACCATGCTTTTGGCACAGCTGCAAGGGGCCTGGGCGGGCAGCGGTGGTACAGCCATCCACGGTGCATCTTCTCCCTCCGCCGTGAGCTTTGCAGCGTTCGCTGCTGCCCACAGCACTCTTCGTGCACTCCAGAACTTCGCACCGACGGCCACCTCCGTGACTGATGCAGTACGGAGTCCCGTCCCGAGCCTAAGAGAAACAACCATCATTTGAAGAAAGGAACAAACAAAGAAGCTATGGAGTAGCCCGGAAACCTGCTCACCTGCTTGAGGCACCCTTCATGGGCACACAGCTTCCTCTTGTTAGTCACCTTCGGTCCACGAGGAAGAGGACCGAGGCCAAACTTGACGTGATGAACCTGCATCTGTCACAGAGAGTTTTTAAACGTATCACTGGATACCTGAGGAACGTATATATCTCGCTCGCCTTCTACCTCGCCGTTTCGGGCTGAAGCATGGCGAGCGAGATCTGCATCGCAACGCGCATTTTCTCCGCAACGTAATGACGATGACGACTCCGTCGAACAAACGAGCAGCATCGAAAGTGGACTCGCTTCGACTCGATCTGATACCCGACCGCCATCTCATTGCTATTGATCTATCTACCATGATTCTAGTTGCTCTCAGAAGGTGTTTTATTGAGTTATAGTAACAGCTTGAGAGTCGGGAAGCGGTGAGGAGGATATCCTCATATCTTTGGTCGTCGCCCGCCCGACCGTTTTGCTCTATACTAACTCGTATCATCATCACTTCTTTTCTCCTTGACCTCGTTGAAAATAAAGGGACAAAGATATGAGGATAAGGAGACTATTTAAATCACGGGATTTCCGTTGATGATTTTGTGAAGATAATTTCCTTCAGTGTGTACTACAAGTAAAAGGGCCCGACTTAGACATGAATCAATGCACATCTGATTCGCCCGAACATAATATCAACATATGCGAAGTAGCCACTGGACATCAAATGAATCTTTCAGGAAAGGCGTATGTAAACGGCGATAATTTCTACCCTAGTTTGTGTAGTTTTCGGAATTATGGAGCATTCTTCCACTTCATAAAATCTAGCAATGCATATGAACTTCTCGACGAGTATTTCAGTGATTCGAGTGGTATGGAAAACCGTTGAAAAAGTTTACGAGTCGTCATAAGGGAGTGCGGGAAAATAAGTAAATGGTCAACTACATGCGTTGGTGACAATGAGGAAATTTTGGGAAATTTTTATTGTTTTTTTACACTTCTACTCAAAGTCGTGTATAAACTAATCTAATTAGTGGAGAAATTCTCGAGCTCAGCTGAGGAAAGCGAACATATATTCCTACTCCAACACTCTCATCATGAAATTGCCCAGGAAATTTCCGAATGATTTCTCCATCATCCCGTTTCCTCTTCATCACACCGTTACGCTTGGGTGCTCGCAAAAGTCTCTGGCGTGCGTCGCTGCAGAAAACCTCCAAGGATGGTACCACACCGACGACACTAGATGAAGTAGTATCTTCTCGGACCTAATGTGTATCTTTT